GGAAAACACACAGAACACACACACACACACACAGAATAGCTTTTTAGAAGAAAACTATAAACAGAGAAAATGTGCGATAGTGTGGGAGAGTGAGAGAAAGGGAACTTTACCCTGTCTTAGTGCGCTAATTACTGACTAAAACATGGATCGTGCATGTATGTATATAATATATATAATGATGACGACATATATGTATATATATATATTGTATGTATGTATGCATAACACACTTGCACGGAGAGTGCTCGCGCTTTTGCTTTTCGTTAAGAAGAGCAAAGAAAGAGGAGTTTACGGAGACAATTGGAGAAAGTGGCAGAAGACGAGAAATGTCGACGGAAGAAGAAATGATAAAAAGAAAAAGAGTACATATATAAATATATAAAAAGGGTAAGGGTGAGAATGGTGACAGTGTACGTATGTATGAAAGATTTGCGAGAAAGAGAGAGAGAGAGAGAGAGAGAGAATAAAAAAAGAATTACTCTGTGAGAAACTGTGTGTCGCGATAAACGTTGTTAGGTTATGAATAATTAAAAAGGAAAAAAAAAATAAAACAGATAAAAGATATTATAAATGTTACAACGTTGTACGTAATGATTAAACAAAGGAGAGAAGATGGCAGAAAAATGACGACGATGATGATGATGATGACGCTATGTATAAGAGAAATTAATGTAGTTACAATGAAATAAACGATACGACGATTACTACGAGATCTGGAGGACTTCCGTCATCCTGCACTTCCGGTCCCCATTTTCTTTCACTTCACCAAGCGAAGAAATGAGCTCAGGAAACATTTCTTTTCATTAGACCTTTACAGGAAAAGATTGTTACCATACTTTTGTTGAATCTTTCTAATTAAACAATTATTTCCATTGGACGTTAATCAATTTTATCATTAATTAACAAGCATGTGAGTTAGTTAATATTTAATAAATTGAAATGGAATTGGCAGAATTAACAATGAATTTTTTCATGAATGTAGAATTAGGTTTGCAGCTTGAATAATTAAGATACTAATTAAGGAGGTTCGATTAATCCCGTGAAAACGAACGGACACGAATTAACGAGGCGTTAATTAAACGCGAAGCAGGAGGATCCTAATTATTAAGAGGCTAATTAACAACCCTTGATTAACGCCTGTCCAATTAGGCGGCTCCTAATTAACAAACTTCTGATGAGCCGGAATCAGGACGTCATTTTAAGTGTCCCAACTAAGAAGAGAGAAATGGGAAAACAATTTCAATAAATCAAAACGTGATTTGCGGTATAAACAAAAAAAAAAAAAACCCAGAAAAATCGTTCGGGAAAAAACCGTGAAAAATGTCAGAAATTAGTGAAAGTCAAAGCTGCGGCGTGCAACTTTAATTTCTCCCCCTCTCATGGGAACAGCCTTGAATTCAATATGGAGGTGGCGAACGTATCATTCTTCGTTAGATGTGACGGTAAAGAATTATGAGAATTTCTCAGGGAATTTCACCGAAAGGTGTGATTTTAATGAGATCGCGAAAGTTCGGAATAATTTATCTAAAAATAAAAACCAGAAGGGGTTGCGAAAAGTCGGGAAAAAATGTGATTTGGAAAGTTCTAGGAAACTGGAACGCAATTAAAAAGAAAGGAAAGAAATTGAACGGATACTCGGTTGAAGGAGAAGCTTGAGGATTTCTCTGGATCGGCCTCCTCTTTGATCGTTTCCATCGAACGAGGAGACTTCTTGATTAAAATAAGGACAAGTGGTCCGCGGGATCCGTTATAACGCGGCAAACCACATTTAACTGTCGGATATTTTTAGAATCTGATCGATAACCCGATTGCGTTAATACGAACCAGTTGACGTTTCCGTATACTCTATTCCCATTTCGTCCGGGAATTGGGGAATATTTCGAACTGGTTAAAAGTAAGATCGAAAAATTCAATTTGACCTTTGCTCGGTTCGTGAAGTTATGTCATAGGTGAGTTAAGAGTGAAACGAATGGTACAAACAACGTTTGTTGATTCATAAGTGACAAAGAGATCGGCCATCTTAACATGAAATTACATCAGATTGAAATTCGAATACTCGGAATTGCCAAAGCACCAAATGCCAAAAGATGTGATTCCACGTCCTGAAAATTCGAGGACGTCGCAATTCTGCTCTTCGAAATCCTAATGCTATGCAATTCCGCACTTTGAAGTACGAACGTCGCAAAATTCGGCAATTCCAGCGCTTTCCGAGTTTCACGCACTCAAATCCCCCGTGCGTCGCGCGCAATTCCAAAACGCGTGGACCCGCGCGCCCGCAATTCCATGCCTCGTGATTACGCGGCCAGCAACTCCAGCGGCCCAAACTTCTAAAATCGTAGAATTGCGCGGGCAGAAATTCCACGATCCCCAGATGCTCTAACCCTCTGCACTTCCAGCGCTTTGGAATTTGCACTCTCGCAATTCCACGCCCGGTAATAACCGGAAGATCGGAAATCTCGCGTTCCCTGGATGCTCCAACTCTTCGCAATTCCAACACTTGGAACCTTCAATGTCTCAGGAGTATCCAGTCCTCTCGAACTCGCAACAACGTCAACGTTAGCAACAATGTAATTTTGAGAAATTTGAGAGAATTCTCGTAGAAATGTCGAGGGTAGAATGCAGCGGGAGAGCCAATGGAGAGATCCGCGGGAAATAAATCGAAGAAGACAAGGAGAAACGCAGGGCACGTTTCGCGGCAGAAAATTTCTTCGGTGGCGCGCGCAAAGTGCCGGAGGAATTTGCATTCCAAAGTGCACGGAGCCGTGATGCGCCGTGCATTCGCTAACAGCGACGCTTTTCGCACGTTCGCACGGAGATAAATCATTTCGAACGGCGGTTTAACAAACGGTCCAGGCTACCTGCCGTTTAACGCCTCCAACTTCTGCTGGTTGATACCTAGTTGGACGATTACCCACTTACGCCGTCAAGCACGTATCCCATTTTATCTTTAACGACTCCACAAATCTATCGGGAATAAGTTTTTCCGTTCGAAAAACCGAGGGAAAAAACGACTGGAATTTTTTTCGTTCCGATTTCAAGTTCCGCGGAATAATTTTGTCACGTTAAATTTGTGCAATCTGGATGAAGAAAAAAAACCGAAAGGCTTTTAAAATCCGATATTTTAAGCGAAAAAGAAAAAATTCGATTCGTGAACAAGACTATCTTCGTAAAATTATGGAATGGTCTAAAACTACATGTTTCAGCATGCAAAATTTCCGAGGAAAAAATTCGATTTCCTTAAATTCTGATGCCGAATACGAGAAAAGGAGAACCTGAATTAAACCTGGCAAAAAAGTGTCGCAAAATTTGTCCCGAATCGTCGGTTCGTTTATGTAGAATCGAGAAAGAAACATCGTTGAAACTTTCGAGGAAGAATAATTCATTAGCGATTCTGGAGCCTGGCAGTCTGCTCGCTCTATCATTAATCGATCAAACCGGTCGATACACTTCGCAAAAAATATTCCTCCGTGGTGAATAAATAACGCATACTTAAAATCGTCGAAAAGAGTGAAAAAACTTAAAAAAATGTTTTACCTCGAGGCAACAATAAAATTCCATTATAATAATTATCTATAATCAAGAACCGAGACCGAGTGTGATTACTATGGTAAAAAGTCGAGATAGCAGATATCACGACAGAAGGTCTCATCAGTTCGCACCTGAAATTAGAAATCTACGAATTCCTCTCACAGTTGGGGGAAAAATTAAGTATCAATCGAGTTTCGGTTAATTAAGCACGAATATTCATAAGATATTTAGAAAGTTGAGATAAGTTTGGAAAAGAGGAAAGAAATTCAGATTAGGATGGTAGTTGGCCCCATCAGAGGCAATTACTCGGTCTCAAATAATTGCATCCTTTATTAGGAGGAGAGCTAGAAACTTGGCACTTCTCTATCTGAACTTCTTGGAATTTATCCTCGTGTTCGTATGGCTTGGAAGTGTCGTTAATCTCGTAATATAGTAACCTACATCTGGAAAATATGTTTCGTTAATTCTGGTTTTGGTTCAGTAAAAAAATAGAGGCATGGAAATTCCGTGAAAAACATCCTGAGGAATCCCAAGTGTAAGTCTTGTTTTTCAATAATAAATTTCGATGATGTGAATGTGATCTCACTAACCAAAAACAAGTCCAGACCTAATGCAGGCCTAGTAATGATTTCAAACAATTTGTAATATTACATTTAGAGGAATTGGAATGTGTATATCTTAGTCCGAAGCTAGCTCACACCTATTAGTGGTTCTATAATAAAAAAGAAAATTGTTTTTCTGAATTAGAATGCTTTCGTCCTAGGTGGGGAATGGAATGGGACTAATATACCTCTTCTCCTCGACCTAGTTCAGACTTAATCTAAGCCTGCTAATGTTTAACAATTTTTTCAATATCAAATTTATATAAACTTGTAAGTTCTATCCTAAACCTGATTTAAGTCTAATCCGGACCTAATAGTGATCTGAAAACGTCTATACCTTAATCGAGACCAAGTCTAGGTCTAATCTAAGCCCAGTAGCGGTCTCGAAATATTTTTAAATGAAATTCACAATACTGAGAATCCCTGCACCTCAAGTTAGTCTAGGTGAATCCAAGCCTGAACATAGATTTATTTAGGTCTTACCGGGCTTATCCTTGATCTAACTCCATGTACAGAGTACAAATTGGTCAAGATAATCTTCTGGATCCTCCTGAGACCAGCTCCACGAAAGAAATCCTCCCTTGCTGTCCTTGAATCTCATCATCCTGTACCATGCAACCAGTCCCCACCGTAGGAACTAGTAACACGAACAATTACACGGTCCAGGCTATGGGACAGGTGAATATAAAGGCAGTCGAGCGAGCTTGGCCAGCTATTAGTCGGTCTTGCTTCCGACGACCGGTTCTGACTCGTAAATCGGCCAGTTTTATTGTCCGATCTTTGTGTGGTATCGCGCGTCGCAGTGGTTCGATTTCCTCTCGACTTTGACTTTAGTCGGTGTGAAAGTCAAAGGTGAGGGAACATCGGAAAATGGTGGTCGAGGGAGGTCCAGTGCTACTGGCGATGACCTTGGCCGTGGTATCGGTCGCCTTGGCGGAGAGTTCGTGGCCTTCGTGTGCTGGCAAGACCATGCTGAGTGAGTAGAAGGAATTTCGAAGGAGAGCGGTGGAATGTGCTAAGTGGGAAATTGGGATCAATGCGCTTTGCGTTGGTGAATTTGGATAATTAGCAGATTGGCAGATCAGAAATTAGGGAAACCAGACGAGTAGGTAGACTCGGAAAGTTGGAGAAACGAGAATTTCGAGATTGGGAAAATTGGGGAATGGCAAATTTTGGAAATTAGAGAAATCGAGGAGATGGGAAATTGGAAATTTGGAAATTAGAGAAATCGAGGAGATGGGAAATTGGAAATTTGGAAATTAGAGAAATCGAGGAGATGGGAAATTGGAAATTTGGAAATTAGAGAAATCGAGGAGATGGGAAATTGGAAATTTGGAAATTAGAGAAATCGAGGAGATGGGAAATTGGAAATTTGGAAAATGAAAGATTTGGAAAGTTAGAGAAATTGGAAAGGTGGGAAATTTGAGATTTGGAAATTAGAGAAATCGAGGAGATGGGAAATGGGAAATTTGGAAAATGAAAGTTTTGGGAAGTTAGAGAAATTGGAAAGATGGGAAATTTGAGATTTGGAAATTAGAGAAATCGAGGAGATGGAAAATTTGAGATTTGAAAATTAGAGAAATCGAGGAGATGGGAAATGGGAAATTTGGAAAATGAAAGATTTGGGAAGTTAGAGAAATTGGAAAGATGGAAAATTTGAGATTTGGGAAGTTAAAAAAATTGGAAAGATGGGAAACTTGAGACTTGGGAAGTTAGAGAAATTGGAAAGTTGGAAGACATGGAATTCATAAAATTGGAAATTAAGCAGATCAACAAATCTGAGAAATGAGACATTCGACAAATTCAACACACTGGAGAAATTTTCCAAATTCATAGCTACGATAGATGAAAGAACTCACACAGCACTCCTTATTTGACACGATCATTCATCAATGAAGAATCCACGTAACTATCCAAGAATTCACTCTGAAAATCGTGAAACCGATCTTTGCACTTGTTCCCCCTATTATTCGCGGTTAGATTTCAAGTTCGCGTGATTTATCCCGTCTGCAAAACCATTCGAATAATCTAGCCAGCGCCGTTGATTTCCAGGCTCGTCCATCAGCCTCCAAAGACCGCGATAAGAACATGACTAGACATAAGCAACGCTTCTCTGTTCGAGAAAAACCAGCGAATTAATTCCTTCCTCGTTGTTCCTTCGCTCTCGAATGATTTTTCTTCGTCTCATCCGGGAAACCAGATCGTTACCTAAACTCTGTCTTCACCTTTTCTTTTTTTCTTCCTCTCTCTACTCTCCGTTCGTCGACTTTTTATTCAACGCCTTGCCTAATTGTTCCGTTTCTTCCGTATTCTAAACGTTCTCAAAGCACGGATCCTCCAATTACCGAAGGGCAAAAGCAGTTCCCTTTGTTTTCACGCTTTGGCTGACGTAACGCGCTCGCTCTCCGTTGAATAACACAGTTTCCACGGCGGCAATTAGTCAAGTTCCTTCAACAATCGCGTATCTCGTTCCTCGTCGATGATTAGACCAGCCTTGCGCGAAGAAATATTCCCATTGTGGACGCTAACTTTAGGAAATCTCGCTGAGGGGCCAACCTGACCAGACTGGTTGTGATTTCTAAATCGTTTGTTACTCGTTCGAAATTCGGATCGTAGAAGCGTGGATCTCGATCGAGGAGATTCGTCAGCAGAAAGAAACCAAAATCCAGAAAACAAAGGGAATTTCAGCGGCGAGAAATTTGGCTACTGGGAAAATATCTTTAAAGGGACTTGCCCAACCATAGAAAGAAGAATCTGAAAATTTTGTCCCAAAAGAAAATTTCGATACCTAAACGACTCGCTCCAAAATATATTTGGACACTGAGAAAATTTCCTCGCAAGAAACACTGTTTGCTGATAGAAATGGTAACCCAGAAAATTCCTCCGAAAGTGTCGGTACTCGATACAATTAAATCACCGAGATAATCAATTCGAAAAATGAAACCCAGTCGAAGAAAATTCCACGAAAGAAATAAATCCCACAGCTGGTAACGTTCTTTTTAGAAAAGAAAAAGAAAAAAATGCAGATTGTATCGTCGAGAAGGGGAAAATTGGTATGTTCGATCGAGAGAGGATCGATGCATCGAGCAGAGAATGGAAATAACCGGTGGCAAGTTTGAATGGGGACCAGTAGCCGGGAACTATTTATTTAACAAGCTAGCAAGTCCATTCCCACGAAATCCATTTAACCGGGAGGTACGACGAGAGAATGGAGTTAGCAGGTGTCGGCTGAATCGTTACGTACCGGACCAAGCCCTGCTCATTTCCGTTGCAAAAAGAAAACCAAAGCCACGATGTACAGAGACAGCAGTGCTGCCAACCGATCCGACGTAGCGTCGTTTTTCATTCGGCTAATTTGCAGCGCCGCGCCGGCGAAAATAACCGTACTCCCTCGTTTGTTCGATTAGAAACGCGTAATGTCCCTAGCGTGCCCGGGTAAACACCTGGCTGAAATACGGCGAAACGTGCTTTTACGAAATCACAGCGGTCAGGCTGTAGAATAGAGAATCGAAACGACACATTTGACTCATCGGTGAATCAGCTGGAAAATATTTCGCAGGGAGAGAGAGTAATTCAGATTTTCAGCGAGAAAAATTGAGGTTAACCTGGTCTAGGGATTTTTATCCACTTCGTAAGAAGTCCCACGAGTCGCCATGTTTGATCTTTTCTATCGTGTTGGGTAATGTGAATTTTCTTTTTTTCTTTTAAATTTCTAGAAATATGAAATGTTATTCAAATTTTCCGGTAACCAGATATTTTATATCGAACGTGGAAACGTTCGGAATTTGAATAATTTCACGTCGTTGCCTGCCAAACCAACTGGGGAATGTAATTTTCGTGCGGTGAAAAGGGAACGTGTCCATTAGGAGACAGAATTGGTTGAATATTTATCCCCTAGAAAAATCCAACGGCCATTTTGTCAACCGCATTATCGCGGTGACGACGAACGCGAGGGGGATTCGATGTGCAAAGATTTGAATTTCAAACGGGAGGTGAAATCGTGCACGAAAACAGAATGCAAATACAATGCTAAATTTAAAGCTAATTATGCAATCGTGATCAAAAATAGCCTCACGTAGCTGTAAACTGGCGTTTCTCCGGTTTAGAAAGGCTTTTAACTCAAGGTAAACACGGAAATAAAGGCGAACGCGGAAATCTATCATTGAACGGTGTGAAAATAGATAAATGATCGATGAAAGAAAACAAAAGTATTTCAAAGCATGAAGTAACCATCTGAACATTCTTTTTCTCCCGCCAAGAATCGTGCTTGTCCGATTATTAATTTGAAAAAAAAAAATAAAACACGATCCAAACGTGCCTAATAACTTTTCCTACGACGATCGAAGAAATTCGACGATTTCAAAGCATGACGTAAAACCATGTGAAAATTCTTTTCTCATGGCAAGAATCGTGTTTGTCCAGTTATCAATTTAAAAAACACGATCTAAACATGCCTAGTAACTTTTCCCGCGACGATCGAAGAAATTCGTCGCAATTAAGGGAGGCGAGGGGGAAAAAATCCGGGAAAGAGAGCAGGAAGGAAGACGAGGGAAGTTTATTGCTCCGCTTTTCGTCCAGCTGTGGCTGCCTCGACTGGCCTGGCCTTATGAATAATTCAAATCGTACATTATTTACGGGGAGAAAATTGGAATCTATTACATTTCGATACGACGACGCTCGACATCGATTCGCGACGGTAAAAATACCGTATTCAGCAGCCGGCCACGGCCGCGAAATTCGATTACATTCGGGAATTAAAGCAGCTGCTAGTTAATTACTAGAAACCTGTGAGCGGGCGCAAGATGCGAGAATTTATTATTCCAAACACCTCGTTCGCCTATTTCATCCTTCACCCCTCGAATCGCCGTCTTTTTTTCTCTCATTTCGAAATTTCCTTGCTATTTCGAGACTTCACGTTTGAAATTTCAATTCTCGCCAAAGTTAACCTAACCACTTTGACGAAAATCGACGTGACTTCGCTCACGTGTGAATGAGCAGGATTTAACTGGAGAGGTAGTTCTGAGAATTGTGCCTAATTAGGGTATACCTAACTCTAGCACCAGCTGCAGCTTACTATAGATCCCATGATTACTGTAATTTTCCTTTGTTCACCCGAACGATAAGAATGATAAAGCGAAGTGAAAGAATTACCAGAAAATCTCCGAATGAAGATGCTGCACGCGTTACAGCCTTAAAAAAAATGTACGTAGTTTCGTCAAGTTAAGCAGTCGAAGAAAATTCCCTAGAATTCGAGGGAAGAAATTCGATTGGCGTGGAAATTTGCATTCCTCGTCTCGTCGGGGAGCTAAAAGTTATTAGAGGGGAAAGAATACGACGGAACGAAAGTTGTTCGCGGGAAAGACAGAGGGAACGTCGTTAAGGCGGATTCCTGGGGAAGCTTTCCGGTGAGTTGGCCAATCTGGCAAACCGGAAAAACGGATGAAGGGCCAGCCAGAAGACGAGAAACCTGCATCTGCATAATGGAGTAGCAATTTTGAATCGTCCTGTATATAGTACGAGGGAATTAAAAGTTTTCTGTCGCTTTGGAACCGTGTAGCGAGTCGCTAATTTGTCACGATTATAAAATTCTACGTGATTCTCAGACGTACAGGTATTCGTAAATTTCTCAAACAACCTACATCCAGCCAGAAACGTCGAAAAATCATCGATGACGATAATGCTGAATTATCCTGTACACCTGGTAGCAACTCCCCGAAGATTCTACTCGATGCAGATCGCCAGAAAACTTAGGGTAATTTCGGGAGAGATGGACCGGCGGGAGAGACGGACCAGGCAAGTATTTCCTACATTATCCGCCAGATATGGAAGGAAAAACACTGAAAGCCACGCTCGATCGCTTTCCGCAAAACAAATGTAAAAGAAAAGAATACTGGCGCGTTCCACATTTGCCGGACAACGTAGGAAATACTTGCCTGGTCCGTCTCTCCCGGAATTACCCTATACAAGGAAGTGGAGAGAACTGCTGAATTTTGGCCGAAGTTCAGACAAGTCGACTTCGCGATTTCATTAATTGCTCTCGCTACAGGAGCGTTCAAAACTAACATCCGGGATAAATGTCCACGTTCACGTTGCTGGGAACCTTAGAACTCCCTTAGGAACTTGTTGACTGCTACGTGGTTACGTGGTGGATTTGCTTGCAGAATCCAGCGGCTTATCCTGCGAGGAGAAACAGGCCATCTTAGACGAGCATAATCGGCTGAGACAGCTAGTGGCTCTGGGGCAGATTCACGGACAGCCCAGCGCCGCTAACATGAAGGAGATGGTAAGAGGAGGAGTGCAGAGTGAGCCGTTTACTTAATCTTCTCACCTCCGTGTGTACTCGAGGGATACTTTTAGCACGCGTTTACGACTGATTCCCAACAGAATTTACATTCGAACTTTCTTTTTCCTCTTCTCCTCAGCTCTGGGACGATGAATTGGCGGCGATCGCGCAACGCTGGGCGAATCGATGCGCCGAGATACATGACAACCTGAGGAACGTCCGTGAGTACATTCCCGATAATTCTGGAATATTTACAGAGGGAGAGAACTTACAAGGGAACTTCGGTAACCCGAAAATTCCGATTTCCTTGAAACTTTGCAGGGTTGTAGGGGACCTCGAGAGAAGTATCGGGCAATTGTTTTTTTGCCCTTTTTCAAGGGTGAAAACAGCCCTTGAATGAAGATAAGTGTTACCCTATTTCCCTCTATATCTTTAAAACTATAGTAGATATAACGAAGTGTTTATAATAAAAATTTAACGGCATAAAATGCCGTTAAAAATGAATATAAAAAAAATTGCGCGATACTTCTCTCGAGACCTCTGAAATTTAAAAAGAATCGGGTTACCGAAGTTCCCTTGATAATGGGACGGTACTTGTGAATTACTTTGTATACAGTGGAAAGCAATTAAAATTTCCACTATTCCAATTCCACGAGATTCAGAGATACCATCGCCCTATAGATAGTAAAAAAAATATTAAAGTGGCCTACCGAGGAGTGAAAATAATTCTAATTTATTTAAATATCGAATCGTCCACCTCGAGTCGTTGAAAAATCTAAATATTTCATATTACAAACATCGTTATCTTTGAGTCAACCTGTAAATCGGCTTAACTCCTCGTTTCCCTTCCTTTCACCGTCTACACAATGTAGAACGATCAATAAATTAAACAAAGAATAATAAATCATCGAGACAGCAAGAATGATTGTCCGACGTTCTACAATGAGACCAACCATCGATCATGATTAACGGCAATCGATGTACAGGTAGATTCGCGGTGGGACAAAATATTGCCCGAACATGGACAACGAGGCCCCCGGGACTTTACGACGACCAACCAGACTGGAGACAGAGGATCTCCGACTGGTTCAACGAAGTGCAACACTATACTACCGGTTACAGTGAAACTACCGGCCACTATACTCAGGTTGGTAACACTTCTAATCCCCAGAAACATTTTTCCACACCTGAAAATCGAACTGTCGTATCCATGGAGTATTCTCGATTTTTTTAATAACATAGAATACCATTCGAATGGTACCATTGAGGACTGTACTGTAGGAACCGACGATGGAAAAATATTGAGGGACCCAACGGGAATCGAACCCGGGACCTCCGGCTTAGCAAGCCGAGGCTTTGCGCGCTACGCCAACCACTCCCTCTCTATTGTCCCTTCGAGGTTTCCTATTTGGGTATGGAGGCCCCGATACTACACTCGGCCATCCTGAACTGACATTCGCCCTCGAATGTCCTCCTCAGTGCAACACAACTCAATTCAACACTTTCGGGTACACTCCCCCACACAGCGGCACTCTCAGTCGAAACTCTGTTTCTCAACCCTTTTTGGGAGACGTGCAACCCTCTCACGTGTTTTCAATATTATTATATTATTATTAACATTATTATTAGATACTGTAGGAACTGACGACAGAAAAATATTGAGGGGCCCAACGGGAATCGAACCCGGGACCTTCCGGCTTAGCAAGCCGAGGCTTTGCGCGCTACGCCAACCACTCCCTCTCTATTGTCCCTTCGAGGTTTCCTATTTGAGTATGGAGGCCCCGATACTACAGTACCACAATTAATCGTTATTTAGAACCGAACAAAAATGTCGTGTCCTGTGAGAATGTTCTAGAATTTTCTACTAACGTGAAATATCATTCGAATGGAGCCACTACACTCGAAGTTAACAGTTCCCTAAGTCTCGGGGAATATTTGTAACTTTTGAAAATTCAAGTTAAACCGAAAATTCAAGCTTCTATAAAAATAACACGCGACGAAAAATAAGGTTAGAAAAATTCTCTTTCGTACGATGACTGAAAAAAAATCGAAGGAAGCTGAAGTAATAGTGGACCGACGGAGGAAATAGAGGGCAAACATCCGTGGAATTCCTGAAAGGGGCTTACCCTCGACCTAAGACGAGAAATCTCGAGTATGCACGAGTCTGAAGGCAGGTTTTAAATTACTTCCAGCTTGTCTGGGGTGACACGTACCTGCTGGGCTGCGGCTACTCTTACTACTACGACCCTGCCCGAGGCTACACGAAAAACTACGTCTGTAACTACGGACCCAGGTGAGAATTCATATATTTATACGAATTTATATAACTATAAATAGGTTAAGATTTTCCACTGACATGAATATCAAAAATATTCAAATTTACGTATGTATACAAAATTTAAATATTCTAATTCGAATTATCAAATTTGAAGTATGCGATATAAACTTTAAATACTCAAATGCGAATTATCGAACTGACTATCGATCAAATTGAAAATACCCGTCGATTTTCTCCATGTTTACCCGGAATCAATATTTTAATCGACCTCGAGGAGGTTTAGGAGAGAAGATGAGATAGAGGAAGCAGGAAAATCGGTAACTTCGATATTTCTTCGAAGAAAACGCGGTTGCTTTCAGACGAAACGGGACGCGTATTGAATCCTCCCATAAATTTCCTTGCTCCTCGAGTATTTCCTGTCGATCGCCAGCTTATCACCGCTCGACAAATTGAACGCGCCTGTACACTGTTCGCTTCTCTCCTTTCCTCCACGTAGGAACGGCCTCGGATGATTCGGAGATCCGATTAAATCTCTTCGAAAAATTTCTACTAACTTCTGAAAGCCTTGTCAATAACTTCGAACCGATGAGAAAAACACCGGTCGGAAGTGTAGGAAAGAATTGTTGGTCTGAAATGTAACGATCTTTATGGAGGCTTCTTTTTGGAATGACAAAATTTCCACAGACTTCTGGAAGTCTCCCAAACTTTTGTGAAATATACCGCGGAAATGTTTACACAAGTCAGCAATATGGGGAAAAATTGTAGATTTCATATATGGACAAGTGATGCAATATGCAAGTGATACATGGAGACTTTTCTCTGGGGTTAATAATTTTTTAAATATGGTTTAAGTATACTTTTTATTCCGGTGTTAGATGGAGTGAATCATTTTTCAAGGCTCAGAATGTGATTCTTTTGCATTACAGCGGCAACGTGCTTGGCTTTCAGCCGTATCAGTCTGGCCAGCCTGCCTGTGGCAGCTACGGAATGCTTCATTCGAATCGATACGCAGGCCTTTGTTGTGAGTTTTCCACACGATAATTGCGTTCACTGGTTCGAATTAATTTCTTGAAAAACAGAAATTGAATCGATCAATTTTCCTCCAATTAACATTTGCGGAATTTTCTTTCCAGCTGGAGAACACTACTACCACCTAGGAGCACTGTGCAATTATGGTTAACGTATGCTTCAATACCAGACACCATTTTACGTCGAGGCTGATCAATAGATCGCGTCTATTTGATCTAGTTCATTGTTCTAGTCTGTTGAATATAGTCCATCATTGTAAACGTTAATTATAGGCTAAGTGTTAAGAATAAATACTATGATTCTACGAACCTAACCTATAATTTACAGCGCACAGGTTTAACCTCCCTAGCTCGTTAATCCGATACTCGATAATCCAGCCGGGGAAATCTCTCTGGTAGTGTGAAGTAAAATTAATTGGAAAGGAGAATTCCCAAAATATGGATCAGGATTCGTGGTTCGCCGTATACAATAAAGCTTAGCTTAACGAAGAATTGGAAATAGAAAAAGGAGATGTAATTATTTCGTGATAAGTTAGGTTAGGTTTAAATTAGAATTCTTTGATTTATCTAATATAGACAAATTTGGATTAGGGACAAATGAAAAATTTCGAGTGGAAATTTTTCGTTTCTGGAATTTCACACCAAAAAGGAAAAAAAAATGAGAAACGCTAATAATTTTAGAGTCTAACATTTTTCTATGCCATTCTACTTTCCCAGTTTGATCCGTGCGCACCCCATGCATTTTGCATCGCAACTGTTACGTGACCGACGCTCGAAATGCCGCCTATAAATATTTACGCGCCTAAGATACGGTACACGCTTTTTTTTTCACGGCAATCGTTCCCTTTCCAGGTTGTCCCAATTAATTCTGTCGTTTCGAGCCATTCACTACACGATAACACAAAAAACAACCTACCTCCATTCTAATCGGATACCCGTTATATCCCAAAAAACATGATTCGAAAATGAATTTCTAACATTCTACTTCTGAAAGGAGTACCTCAATTCATAAACCATGACTGGGGAATTTATCTTCTCGCTGAGATAAGATGGTAGTACTGTTGGTGCCATAAAATGGCGCCTACGACGGCCATTTCCAAGGAAACTATCCTCAGGTTGACGTAAAGGTTCTTCCCTTTTTTCAATTTTATCCACGAGCAAATTTTTTCAAAGTTCTTCGCTTGCGTGAAACTAGGATAGAAAAATGAACGTTTCAACGCAGCGTTCGAACAGAAAAACCACTGACACGGATACGAACGTGTATGCGTGTAAATCGCGAATGAAATTATCGTTTAATAAAACACGGCGGCGAGACAAAGTGCAGGATTATACGGGCACAAAAAAAAAACGAGAGAAAGAGAGAGAGCGCGCGATAAAGTTTAATTCCCTTATTCGGGAACAACGAAATCCCGGATATCCGAACGGTAGGCTTCCACCGTAATTCACCCGGATTTATTGTCAACTGCACGCGGTATTATTTTCTCGATAAAAAACAAAAACGCCTGACCCTGATCCTCTAATTTCAC